AAATGGATCAGCTGAAGAATGACGTGGGACGCGTTGAAAAGGAGAAGAAGGATCAGTACAATGCATGTTGCGCTCAAATTTTCAAAGAGTCCGCCAAACAATTTCGGTTTGGTTGGGTGCAGGGGCAGCAGCCTGCCCACCATAAGGTTGTGGTCGATCCTGACACCTACGACGGAGAGATGGGAGTTGGCATTGCATACTGCAAGTTCATATTCGAAATGATCCCTACAGACATTCCTATTTATGGCTCTGCAGAGCATCATGCGCCTCCCGACTCTGGTGATGCTGTGCCATCCACCGCGAGCCATAACATTTCTGTTCGTGACTACGAGATCGGGGAGTAGGCTTCTGGGTTGACGCGATGATTTTTGGCGTGACACCTACTTTATTTAGTGTTTACTTTATGTGGCATGTATCCTGTTTTGGGATTGAACTTATGTATTGTACCTTATGTGGACTTGGTTGGCTTCCCTTTGATATCCAGGCTCGGTTTTATTATGATTATGTATCTAATTCGCTTGTCCTATCCAGGTGAATACGAAGACAAATACCACCTCCTTCATTATGGGTTCTCTTAGATATTATTCGCCTGGGTCATTGTAAGTTTGAAATCTAACCCGATCCTATGTTGTTTCGCGTACTAAGTTCATTGGGATAACACTATCCTTTTTCAAAAATAAAATCAAGTTGGAGTATCAATCTCTCGGATAAAATTGCTTTTTGAATTTGAAACTTTGCATAATTATCTGAACTGATTGAGCCATCTTGATTGACGTTATAAAATAAGGGGCTGAGGATGGGTTTCAAGTATCTAGATGTAAGTTCATTGGGATAACACTATCCTTTTTTAAAAATAAAATCAAGTTTGAGTATTAATCTCTCGGGTAAAATTGCTTTTTGAATTTGAAACTTTGCATAATTATCTGAACTGATTGAGCCATCTTGATTGACGTTATAAAATAAGGGGCTGAGGATGGGTTTCAAGTATCTAGATGTAAGTTCATTGGGATAACACTATCCTTTTTTAAAAATAAAATCAAGTTTGAGTATTAATCTCTCGGGTAAAATTGCTTTTTGAATTTGAAACTTTGCATAATTATCTGAACTGATTGAGCCATCTTGATTGACGTTATAAAATGAGGGGTTGAGAATGGGTTTCAAGTACCTGGATGTTATGGCTCACAGGCGTAGGCTAAAACTTCGCTTCCACCTCTGCGCTGACATCCCCAGAAATGGTTGCTGTCCCAGGAGAAGAGGCACTAGAGGAATAGAAATCTACTTTGGTGAAGGTTCTTCATTCGATTCACCAGTGAGGTCATCCGATTGCTCCAAAGTTCTGAACTCGCTGCCCGATCATGAATGTAAGTCTAGGACTCGGTTGAGATCTGGCAATAGATGCGGACTTCATTCTGGCCCTTCTTCGATCAGTTGTAGGCGCTCACCGAATTGTGTTAGAGGAGAAAGAGAGGGTCCCAGGTCTTTTTTCTTGAACAGAGATGGTGCTGGCCCTTCAAACTCGATGAGGGACGACCCCGGGCCGTCGCAGTTAGGACATCATCACCTGTACGCTAATAGGGATAGAGAACTTATCCATGGATAAGTTATCACCAGATGGAGATGGAAACTTTGACCCGCCTCAAAAGGGATCTGGTAGATGCGAATCGTGTTGTGGCTCTCGCTCACTCTGAAGGGATTCGTGATGGTTTCCAACAAGGGATCAGCTACTTTCGTGACAAGGCCAAAGCAGCTTACTCGTTCGTTGATTGGGATAACTTCCCGAGATGGACAAATTGAGTTTAGGGAGTGGTAATAAGTTGGGTTTCAATTCCCAATCCTCACTAGGGTTCTAGTGAGGTAAGTCCAACTAGTTAGTTGTCTAATCTTTGTTTCGTAGTATTCGTTTTTATTTTGGGTCAGCCCAATGATTTTTTGATTTCTTGTACTTTCGAGTTTTTGAATAAAGTTGGAAGGGTTCTACTTCCCTTTTGGTTTCCATAATGTGTGCAAGTTGAAGTGTAATTAAATTCCCTTGAGGTGATCTCAGAATCGGTAAGGGCCCAACTGACTATCCCTAGAGGATTGATAACCTCGGGGTAGTGTTGGGATTAGCACGGATCCTATTGAAAACCTCTGGGTGATGTCGGGATTAGCATGGATCCAACTGACTGGCCCTAGAAGATTGGTAACCTCGGGTAGTGTTGCAATCCGCATGGATTTTATTGATTGCTACCAGAGGATTGCTGACCTCTAGGTGATATTGAGATCAGTATGGATCCAATTCACTGCCCCTAGAGGATTTGTAACCTCAGGGTAGTGTTGCGATCGGCATGAATATTGATGATAAGTTTGAAC